AGGAATTTATGTGAATCCAATAATACGTACTGCAAGATTTTAAGCTTGTCCCTATTAATGTGCCCTGTATTGGAGTTGAAAACGTCGTGTTATAAGTGTACATTGAAATAAATATAATTGAAATAATGATTTATGTAATATTAACCTAAACAATTCAAATGTAGATAGACACACAAATTGGGGGCACATTAATAGGGCCATCGTCGCTTGGAGGACTCACTAATAGGGACAAAAACATGTTTTTTATTTTTGTTAAAAATATTATAAAGTATTAATATTTTTTAAATTAAAGAAATATTAGAAGAAAAAGAAATAGTTGAAAAACCGATATTGATTGCAAAAAAGCAGATAAAATTAAAGCTACAATATTTAATAATTAATTCAGTAATGAGCAAGTTGGCTAAAAGGCACATTAATAGGGATAGTTACTCTATATCCATTTTCCTTGATAAAGTCGTCTTCAAATATTTACATAGGAACGTTATATCATCATCTTTGATCGAGTCTGAATTACCAAACAGTACTAAATATTACGCTTTACGTTTTTAAGTTAAATTGACAATTGGTCATATTACCTGTTGTAATTGTATTGTATTAAATACTTTTCGTTCTGACTCAGGTGGCAACTTATTTGTAAATTCTTCTCCGCAAGCTCTCAATTCTTCGATCTCTTCTGGTTGAAAGAAGTCTTCCAAAATGACATAACCATTTTTCTGAAACTTAATTGCACACACAAAATTAATGTATATTTTGAAATTTTTATATATATATATAAGCTAATAAAATAGGGTCATAAGTGCGGAAAAAGATAAAAGAAAACGCGAAGTCGCTTTCCCTTTATATATTATATTCATAAGTAAAAAGTTAAATTTGTATATAAAAAAATAAATGTTTATAAGACATAATAATGTCTTATATAGCCGAACTATCTAATTATATCACAGAGATAGCTTAAATATATCGTAACGTCTGTAGGGGATATCCATATAATATATTTTTGCTGTGTAGGGTGCGAAGAAATATTCAAAAAATATAACGCATTTACTTCCGCAATGATTTACGATTTCTTTACTTGAGATTTGTGACATTAACGTCACGATCATCGTAAAATTGAGGTAAATCTTTAAATAAATAATGAATAGCTCTTCGATTTATTGGCGAGAAAAGATAATTCGTAACCGCTGGTTCAGAGATCAAAGAAATTTCGTTTCCGGTCATCTGATCATCTGACCGATCCATCGTAGTTTCGTTTCATCGTGATATTTTGAGTGATAGACTGCGACTTTATAAATAGACTGCAACCGATAAAGATATCTAAGAATAACCACGAACATTGCCTGCTTCAAAGGGCAAACGGATATTTTTTTTGTGTTAACCGAATACATGTATGGAAACGATTTTGCGTTTGTCTTAATTATTACTATTCCTATAATCGTTTTGTTTTCTCATTTTGGTACTGTCTATATTCAGCTTTTAAAAATATCTTTCTTGATGGTTATAATTAGGGTATCCCAAATTATTTTACTTTTCTATTTGGAGATAATTTTCAGAAAATTATTTTTATTAATAATCAGTTATCGTCCGCGCACGACGATATCATTAATACTTGTAATCTAAATAAATATGTATTCTGTATAGATAAAACGTTTGCACAATGGAAAGTATCATATATATAATAGTTTTGTGATTCACGTATCGATATATATATATATATATATATATATGTTTATATATAATTCCGCATTGTGCTAGTTGGCAAACGTCCTGATATTATTTCACATGCAAGTACATATCGAAACAGATGTTCCAGAATTGCAAAACGCTATTAAATGAAAGCGGAACGTCAGTTGGAATGGCATTTAATTTGCGGAATAGTTTTACGAGCAATTCTCCAAGGGGCCAGACGTACGTCTGCAATTCGAGTCTTCTTATTCGCTAATCGCTTGATTTTACAATTGAACGGATGTTTTAAGAGACCGACAAAACCGCTGAGAAAAAAATGAAACTGTATCGCGAAAATCCTAAAAATTCGCATGCCAAAATGGAACATCTCCGATATATTACATATATTGCAGTCAGGAAAAGATGCGCTGAGCGCATGGTATTTTTGGAGCGTTCGACGCGGTCATAAACATCGCCCAAAAGTCATGTCGCGATCGTAGGAAGTCCCGCACTTGTCATTCGATCGAAAACTACGGCGTCTTCCTTGCTCGGTGACGGTTCGGGAACGGCTTCGCAATAAAGACGCCACGACGGAGGATGCTCGTGGATCACGCATCGTTCCCGCTAGGGCATCTTCAAAAAAATCGCAATTTATGTGCGCAATTTTTACGTTTCGATTACGCTGAAACGCATTACTGCTCTGCCGCACAATAATGCATTTCCTGCGATAAAAGAGAAATATTGCTCAGCGCGGCAGCAATTTTATTTAAGACAATGATATCTGCAATCCTCTTCTGCTTTGTATTGCCCTCATTTGGTCTTCGAATTGTCATAATCGCTCGAACAAAGAGAGATTATATATTGATCTTTTTAATGACAGCTATATATCAATCACTCTTTTTCTTGAGATGATAGTCAATAATGAAGACGCAAGAAAGACGATTTATAGAATATTTCCATTTTCGAGTTTGATAATTTCTTGTAACGTATTCAATAATATTTTTGTAGATTGAGAATTAATGTTTAATTAATTTTTTCATTAATATATTTATGCTCACAAATTGATCTATTACCATTATTTTTATTAAGATATTGAGTAATACAAGAAAAAAATGATTTCTTAAAAAAGTAAGTTATAAAATTTAACGAGATCTACAAAATTATATTTAACAGTTTACATTTTATTCTCATTTTATTACATTGTTAGATAGTATAAATTTAACGTGACAAATATTAGAATTGACGATTAGATATTGGCGATTATTCTTTTGGTTTATTATAGTTTTCTAAAGGAAAATAGTTTCAATTATAGTTTCATCAAGTTAAGAAATCATCGTTTGATTGTTTTAAATTTTTATGTAATTGACAACTCATTAATTACTTTTGAAATATATCTAATAAGAAAAGATATATATTCTCTCTTATTAGATATTTCATAAAATAATTATATCTCATATACCTACATATATAATATATTAATATAATTAATTAAAATTATATAGATATTAATTTTAATTATAATATCTATGTAATTTTAATTAATAATTTTAATAAATTGATTTTATTATTTTATATTTATGTTTATATACATAATACATAATTTATATAACTAAATACATGAGTATGTATAAAGTCCATTTTCTGTGGCTGAACTAATATATGTACACTTTTGAAACTTAAAGTGAAATATGGATATACAGTGGCCTGCAAAAGTTTCCGGCCAGTGACATTTTCTACTATAATTTATAAAAAAAAGCCTGAGAAAATTTTAATCACTATCAGGTGTTAGTACAAGATGTGGGTAACGAAATCTTGTATTAACATACGAGAATTAATTAAAATTTTATCAGGCTTTTTTTTTATAAATTAGAATACAAAATGTGACTGGCCGGAAACTTTTGCACGCTTCTGTATGTTTGATATTTGGCAAAAGCGAGAAAGAGTGTTCTATTTCAGAAATAAAAAACAGACCTATAATTATAAACAATTGATTTTTACGATACCGATTCTTTTGTATTGGATTGTGAATATAGGAATTTATCCGTTTACATCGCAAGCGAATTTGCGAGCCAAACTCGTGCAAGCATATCACGTGCATTAACGCAAAGTTATAAGTGCGAAGCACATCCCGAAAATAGCTACTATAGCTAGCCGTCATCGACAGGTGGGTGGATGGGCTACTACGTCATCCCCCTTGTCGTCGACGTCGCTTTTTCTGGAATTTCATCCGTCTATACGAATGACTCAAGCCGCCCGTGAAAGCGTTGAATCGCGTGGATAGGAATAGAATGGAAACGCAGAATGAAGCATTTGGTCGTTCATTACCAATCTTTCGCCCTCGTCTCATAGCGCGATCGCGAAGAATCAAGGCCAACTTCGTTATTTCGGGTTAATTTGAGCGTGCCAAATCTGCGAGAGAGCGAGGCAAAATTTTCTAAAGCTTCTCCGCTACTTTACTTTTAATGTTTCAGTTGCACCGATAAGAAAGACGACAAAAGCAACGATTTTTTAAAAAATAATATACGATAAAATACTATTCAATTTTGCGAAATGCGAGGATTGCTTCATTTAATTAACAACTGTAACTTAAAAAAAATTTTAATTACCGGGCGATGTAATTACCATCTGTGTTGTAAATATCATTTGATTAAACACTATAAATAGCTAAAATAGCGTTGTGGCAATGATGAACGACATAGATTAATGTAGGTCATAGATCAGCGATAGGATGTTTCACGCGATAAATTATCGGTGGGTTCCACTGTAAACACATTTCTTCTTACATCAGAAATAGCATTTCTGGAAAAAAATTGTCATGATTAAAAAAAAAACAATTGTTTTTAGGCACTTTTTGTGCCACTTACAGAAAGAATGGTATAACCGAAAGCGTAAAGATAAAAACTTCGCGATATCTGAATGCATAAACATTTGCTTCTCTTGTTCGTAATTATATGAATATCACCAAATTTATATAATAAAGCAATACAGAATGTTAGATAACCGTATTTTGTTAATTTCTTAATTTCTTAAGCCACATTTATTATCTTTTCCTCCTACTGCTTAGAGTTATTAAGGAGGTTGTAAGGCAAATGCAATATGTTAAGAATTACTTGAAAAAATTACAGATTATTCTTAAAAATAAAATAATCTCATTGGCAAAACAGTAAAAAATTACTAGGCACTAGTTGATATGAGTGGTATGTACAATCAGAACTGTAGGCAAACGGGATCCTCTCAAGTAACATGATCCGATAACAATGAATCAAAAATATATAATGTAAAAAATATACAATTCTCAACATAAAAATAACTATCTTTTAATTTGTTTCTTTTAATGAACATATATTTATATATGTTGTCTTTTACGCGCGTTTTTGGATATATTATAGATATTATTATTAAAAACAGAAAGCTCATACATTACAACGTTCAAAGAAAGAATTGTAACTATAAACTGACGAAATTTAGAAAGCAATAATTTAAGAAATTTGTTTGAAAATATCCAAATGTGTGTTAAAAAAAAACTTCAAGATTACATTGATTGTATTTTTTTATCGTTGTAAATTGGAATTATTTTACAACGGTGATGTACAAAAATTGTAAATGAATGATAATATAAAAATGGAAGTAAGTAAAAAATTTTAAATCAGCGAATTGATGCTACTACGTTTTGATAGAACGACAGATTACTCGAGTACAAGGATGCTGACCTCCGAATCGAGAGGTCTAGTCGATTGTATCAATGTGGCAACTCCAATGACGTTGTTCGACAAACGACTACATTGTGTACCCTCGTTTCTTAGTTCCCTGATGCAATATATGTATAGAGGCTTCATATATAGAGGAATTATAGCATCGAGAATTTCAATTATGTGAATTTCTTCGAAGATATCAGTCGTAGAGAATATAAAAAAATCAGAATTCGTATAGAAACATCATGCATAAGTATATTCCTCGTTATACAGCATAAAGTCTTATTAAGAATTTTCGTTAATATGAATTATTTACATAAATTTCTGTATATTCTATATGTTCTAGAATCTAGATAATTCATATA